GCTGCGTCCTCTTTCGAATCGCGCCTCGGCGGAAAGGCCGGAGCACCATGTGGAGAGAGCTAGCGGGGAGGAGAAACATCCAGCGAACACCGGAGAAAAACTCGCTAATTTTCCGGAATAACTTGAGAACGATGCAATTGATCGAGTGGAGAATTGCTTCTTACGCTGGCAGGAATGATTCTGCATCGTCACGCTGTAATTTGATGCCCTTCCACACGCTGATAATTCTGATTTGTGGTATGGTGACGGACCGACATTACTGCTCTATTCTATAGGGCGATGTTTGATTGCGGTGATGTAGTTCACGAGATATGCGTGAATGAAACTCATCCTGGAGGACTCATTGTGCCAAGCTATCTGATTTCCCTTTTCAATTTCAAAGGCAGGAACTTGGTTGTGGGGGGAGCAGACTGGCCACATGGCCGATGCTGCATATCCGTCTATTCGCTTCTTTCACGCTCATACCGCCTTGGAACGCTGAGATTGAATGGGGGAAGAATACAATGCAGATCAGACCACGACGATAAGGAACTTCGCGCCACGGGGAGAAGATTTTCAATCTCAGTTCGCGCGAATCAGGAGCAATGAGTCACAGAGTCTCCACATCAGATCTTCATAGGTAGCCTCATGGAAATATCAGATTGAGACCTCGGTGGTTTCGTCGCATGTGGGCTCTCAATTCGGTGCCGAATTCTACGGTACTCTCCTCGCCCGATCCGTGAACGGCAAGCACAATAAAAATTACCTATCGACCGGGATCCTTTTTACGGCCGTACCGAGATTTCCCATCAATCTAAAGAAGGAATAGCCGAGCCCGAAGACAGAGCGCTCCACATTTCCGCGCTCTCTCTGTGCTCGCCAATGTTGGCAATGTACACCGATGTGCTGAACATCCGGTGACTTGATTCAATTAGAGTGTTATTGTTCCTTTTTTTTAATTCGTAGAAGTGCTCTCCCGAAGGAGGTCGCTCAGAACTAATGATGATCATCGGAAAGTACACACGATAAGGGGTTTCGAGTTGAACCGGTGTTCTTTCCCGTCGACTTTTCGGCCCGTCCAGCTTTTTTGAGCTTCGATGAGCCTGACGTGTATTGATGCGCGCCTCCCAGCTGCTCCTTCTGTCCGGCCCTTCTACTATTTTTTCCCTGACCTTCGACTAGTCGCTGTCGGATGAAGTCGAAGCAATGTCCCCAGCGGATGTAATCTATCTCCGAATCACCCGAATCGTGGCGGAAGGAATTCGGGAGCGATTCCCGTGACCGCGATCTTCGAAGTCCGACTGCGTGCGAAATAGATGGAGACATGGGCGAAAACCCTGAATGTCGAGTTCCACCACTCAAACACGCTCCCGAATCAACGTCCTCGGACGTGTGCCGGGTGCCGGGGATCCTGGACCATTATCCTCGCGAGTAGGTTGGTATTCAGGGTGCACGGGGAGCTAGAAGAATGTCTGAGTTTGCTAATTGAGTTTCGAGATTGCGGAGAAGAGACTCCGACGGGAACTAACTCCCTAGCAGCAAAAATGCGACACAGCACATCCCGAGACATTTGAACTAGGCGTTCCGAGTTGAGGTCTCAGACAGAGGGAGTGAGCTCCGTGCCTCTCGAGGTCCTTCGACCGGCACCCGAAACCTCTGATTCGGTTATTTCTTTCCCCAGTCTCAAAATTGGTGTCTCGTTCCGGAACTTGTTTGTGCGCCTCTCGTCTCTGAATCTGAAGCAACGAGTCAGGAGGGCGGGGTGATGGCGAAACAGAAATGTTGGCATGCCAAGAACTTTGAACACTCTCTTCGCAGGCAACTGTGGGAGCTGTCTGTAAACAATGACACCTCTCTCTTTTTGAGTGGCTGACACGAACAAACTCTAAAACGCTCTGGCTCAGCTGGCATCTGGAATCTAAATTGCTTTCAGCAGAAATTGAATATTTCGCCGACAGAAACACTCCTCTTCCAACTCTCGAACGATCGTTCAAAGCACAGTTACTGACAGCTCTGCGTGCGCTACAGATATGCAAGTACTCTGTGATTTTCCTTGCGTGAAGCTCATGAGTCGTCAGGATGTTGGGATACGAATCTCATCCCGTTGCTTATCCCGCCTTGATGGGTGAGACGCTTTCGACGAGACGTTCTGCAAATGCATTACGCTTCGGAGGGCGCGACGACCTTGAGAGACATCAACAGAATGCAAACAATCAGAAAGATTCCGGGCCTTGAACCCGACTCGAGGCCATCAGTCCTCACGCATCCACGCACAAGCTTGCCAACAGCCGCACGCATGCATTTCCCCCATTCGGACTGACTCCAGGCGAGCCTCTGGCGCCGTGATTCAGCGAACGGAAGTATTCTGAATTGCCGACTGGAATTGCGTTCCATGTTCCGCTAGAGCAAAGTGTTATTTTTTTCTATCAGCTGTTGTTTTCCCTGGGGGATTCCTCCTACGCAGAGTGGGCGCTTTAGTGTAACCGATCCTAAGCTATGGCACTCTGGAGGGATAGATAGACTGCGCGAGGAACAGTGCCGCTAGGCGGAATCGAACGTTCCCTCAGGACCACGTGGGAGATAGCCTTTATGTCTCTTCTGAAGCTCCTCCCCCCCTCTTTCAAATTGATGCAATAATTATTCGACACGTTTTTGTTCGCCCCGAGCATCGCAATCCTGTCCATAGATCCCTGAGCTCCGCGGAGCTCTTTGGTGCTCTCTGGCGAATCTTTCGATGATGCATCGTCTTGACAACTTCCACGGGAGCGAGAGCCTAGATTCAGAATTCGAAATTCCTCTTCATCGTCGAAATATTCTAATTACACTTGGCGGAATCGAGAATCCTTGTTTCGAGCTCCCGAACGCCAATTCCGTCCAACAGCGATCCCCAGGCGATCCTTGCCGTAATCGGCCGCCGATGTTTCACATCCCGATCGGATACGGTCGAGTCGGCTTCGTCAACAACACACTTGTCTGCCGGGAGAAGTCGCTATGGTTGCGAAGGGTATCGACCCATTCCTCTGACATTATTCCCTCTCTCCGGCTATATACACACAAGACATTGAGGTCGGGAAGCCCAAAACGTGACCGAATCGTAATCTGCGTCCCCGGATCGAGTGCCGGGGTACAGGTACCGAAAGCTTCAGCTGATCATTAAGCCGATTATCGAGACAATGTCGACAACACTAACTGTGTACCTGGCTGGGGCGACAAAGACGAAGAGCAGGGAAGAAGATCGCAGAGATCCGAGCGACAGGTCGCGGAGACTGTTCAACGAATGAGAAAATATCATCAAGCCGCAATCTACTGGAGGTGTTGGAACATACGAGCGGTGGGAATAAGGATCGATCGTTTCGGTCGATAGATGAGATTGACGAGTTTAGGGCCGCACTTCATCTTCTTGCCCCGAATGCCAAATTTGTTGCCACTTTAACGCACACGAGGAAGTTTCAGCAAGCACTCACGCAGAGCATAGGGTGTGTGGATGCAGGAATAAATACGAGAGCCGCGGGTGTCCGGAGGATCTCCGACGTATATGAAGCCTCTGGAAGAGTTATGCATTCTACCTGATACGAGGACGGGAGAGGAAAAAGTTGTCGCTGCTACAGTAGCCGTCGTCTGTTGTTCCTACGCAGATCCATAATTCAAGTTTCATCTGTCACAAGGGATTGAGCTGGAGGTCCGTCAGAATGGAGGCGGCAACGAACTGCGCTAGAAGGTCGGCTGGCTGCGGCCTCTTCTATTCCTACGCTTGCGTTTCTCGCTTAGGAAGAAAAGGAATGGAGCAAGCGAGCAGACGGCCGCAGAGGCAGTAACCGCATGGGTCCGACCCAGTCGGGATCGACATTGAAAGATTGATTGAAGCAGCAACCGATGGCAGCAGATGGAAAGCGAGGCGAGTTCAGAGAAGCTCTCGCTATTTTACGAATAGACGTCGAGACGGAGCCTTGCTGTATGCTCGCATCGTCGCTCGGAGTGTCGTTTGCTGTTTTCGCAAACCATCGCATTGAGAGGTGATTCCTTCTGCTGCCCCAGGAGACATCCACCTACTACCTTCCTCCGTGAGGGATACCGTGAGATGAGATGATTGCTTGGTTCATTCCTGCCGACTTCACAACATGCCAACGTGATGGATCTTCAGCCCAGGGTCCTCTTTCACCCCGGAAGTTTCCATGGGCTCGAACCAAGGACGCTCTGGGGGGGATCCTCCTGCTAAGTTGGGGGAAAAGTACCACTCATGGAACACGTACCAGTTTCGGAACTAGCGATTCGACAAAGTATTCCATTACTGGTCGCGGTGTTGTCCCACAGGCTTCATTGGGAAGTTCCGAAACTGCTCCCCCTCCCCAAAGATAGCTGGGAATGAATGGGAGTTTCCCTTGGGTGTTCCAACACCGGTACATTCACCCTTCAGCCAAGTATCAGAGATCCCCTCCTCGAGGCGGGTTTAGCACCCAGTGGAAGACTCACGATTCTTCGCCGCATCAAAACGGGTGGGCGGAGACTACAGCAAAAAGGATATGTGAGCTCCGGCATGTTCTCCGAAATCTCGGTCATCATCCTGAATACTCGCGGAGGGAGTCGATAGGAGGGGCGTCCCGGAATATTCATCAAGACTCTTCCCCGGTCGGATTTTGGCGATTAGACGCAACCAGTTCTCCTCTTAGTGTTGTCAAGTGGACTCGAGCCCGGAATCTAGCCGGAATTAGGCTATTTCTTGGGCGGAACCATGAAGCAATAATTCTGAGTTTCGTTCATCATGAACGAGGTATTGCTCGAGGACACTACCCCGGGCGGCAGATGTACCTGAACGAATCAAGGCCCGGCCGCGAGTCTCCATGACATCCGTAATCGGAGCCATCAGACCCCTGCGCCGCCGCCTCGACAAGCTTGGTCAATCTGTGTTGAAGTAGGACGCACGTTTCCGCAATCGGCTTGATGCGCGTTCTAGCGCCGCCTCGGTCAGCATTCAAAAACCTGTCGACGAACGAGGCTTAATTCGGTTCCTTCTGTCTTTACAGCTTCAAGGCATTTAGACGACAAAGCGAGTTCGGAGCGGCCGCGAGCCGAGCCTTTCATCCAGGTCGCGGCTACCGGTGACGACCCCGACGGGCCACCACCACAGAACTATCAGCAATTCTACAACAAGGTTCTGCCTCAGTTCGATAACTCCACGGCAACAAACATCACGACGACTGCGGGGAAAACAGTCTTCCTCCCATGCAGCGTGCGACATCTATCCGACAAAACAGTGAGTTCTGTAGCTTCCATTGAATCCCCGTTTCCCTCAGCTGTTGTCGAGCACAAAGGAATTCTTTCCGCTCTGCGAGTAGATTCCCCCCCCCCCCCCACCCGACGCCCCCACTGTCCCAGAGAGTAGTCATAATCCGTGGAATTCTTTGCAGGTCTCCTGGATACGACGTCCGAAAGACGCGGGGCTCACTGTGCTCACAGTCGGCCGCTTTCCATACACGAACGATCCGCGTATCCGACCAGTGCATTTAGACAACTCGGAATCATGGGCCCTCGAAATCAAGTATCCCCAACAGAAAGACAGTGGCATGTACGAGTGTCAAGTCAGCACGTTGCCCAAGATCAGTCGCTTCGTTTCGCTCGACGTCGTTGGTACGTACTAGAGTAATCCGCTCGCCAGGGTCCACGGGCTTTGTGAGACCGACAGGGGATTCCGCGTGGCTGGAAACGTTTCCAGCGACTCTGCCGTCGTTAGAGGCCCGTGCTGATTTCGGCCCTCTTCTCCCTTCCGTGGAGTAGCGCTGAGCGAATCAGGCCCCTCGGATCTCAGTCACCCTCAGCAGCAGCGGGAGATAAGTTGAGATGTGAGAAGGCTGTTGGGGGCTTCCCTCTGCATACGCGTTTGGGACAGTGCGGCAGTCGGGGGGCGACGGGGACGCGATAGGGTTAGCAGAGGGAAGAATGAATGACAAAAGAAGAGAAAGTGGAGGGGGTGATCCCCGGCAGAATTGGAGCCGAGTGACGACGGTTCTGGGGCGCTTGCTCGACACCATCTGGTGCACTCATCGTCATGTCTCTTGCTTTGTTTCAGTTGGCAAGGCCAAAATCAACGGAGGGCCGCAGCTGTACGTGAACGCGGGAAGCAGTCTGAACGTGTCGTGCGTGATCAACGGTCCGCCGGCTGGGAGCACCGAATACGTTTTTTGGTACCACAACCAAGGAATGCTCAACTTCGACGCGCGTCGAAACCGTATTCAAGTATTGTTCAATGCCGATCAGACGGTAAGCAGTCTCGTGATAAGAGCTGCGGCAGTTAACGACTCCGGCAATTACACCTGCGCGCCATCGAACGCCGACCCTGACTCGATACAGGTGTTCGTCGTAAATAGTGAGTATTCCACGAACATACTCTTCGCCGATCCGTACTTCAGACAATAAAAGGATTGCGATCGTTAATCGTCACTATGGACTCCTTCGCTCTTCGGGGGCGGGGAAATCGAAGTTTTGAGAATTGGCTCTAATAAGAGTACTTGTGGGAGAATTACGAGCGTAGACGGTCAGGGTATGGGTGGTGAATACTTGTGCGAGCAAGTCAATCGCTTGTTCTCTAATTAGGGAAAATCGCTCTCTGCAGACGACTCGCCCGCGGCCATGCAAGATAGCCTCAGTTCACCCGGCCATAAGAGCTCGTTGTCGAACCGCGAACTGCTCCTCTGGATGTTATTACTGCCTGTCTATTTTCTTCTGTGACTGCGAGAGTGCCACTTCCAACTGCGCAGAACCAACCGAAGCCCACAAGCCGCTATTTCGAGGCCGTGCGATTTGTAGTTTCTACCCAATCGAAGGAAACGAGGAAAAACGGTAGGTCATAGGTCATGGGATACGAGACGAATAATTTCCCAATATCTTCGATACAACTTGGCCTGGCGGCCCCCATGTGCCGCCCATTGACATCCGATTCATGGACTCTTGTCAAGATCAGAATCGTCAGCGTAATCCTCAGTGTCCGATCTCTGTATCTCCGCTGCGGTCTTTCTCGCGAAGCACCTGATCTCAGCAAATCGGAAGACACGATATCTCTGTGCCTTGCACAGCTCGTATTCTCGTATAGCAACAGCGAGGAGCTGCTCGCGCGCGCACTCCGCTCGCAGAGTTCGTCTATCGGCTCGTCATCAACAACGACAAACTGTCAGCATGAGAGACGACGCGGACCATCGTGTTTTCCCGGTCAATCTCGAATTATGACGCCCTTAATTACGTGCTGGGCCGGTCGAAGACGGGGAATGAAAAGTTAAGCCGCTTCGGAGGGCCGTGCTGATAACGCTTCTCTCTTGGTTCACAGATGACGACGAATTGTCTAGCCGGGAATCAATTGTGATATAGATCCGGAGCGCAAAAGTAGAAGTCGCAACACAAAGCATCGGAGAAGTCAGGCCGAACAAAATAATTTCTCAATCCACGCAAGAGCGTTTGAGTGGAGCGACCGATCAGCTGTTCCGCAGAACGACGGTGACGGACGGACCAGAACGATGGGACTATCGTGACCGAGAGACGAACGCGGCACGTAGTCTCCTCGCGCCGATATCGATGTGCTTGTTGATAGGTATACAGCCACCAAGCCAGACACGATCGGATTAGTGCGACCGGATCCGATGCACGCGGAACGTAGTTATAATTGTATACAATGTGAATATACCCGACGAAATAAAGGGAAACGGATTGAATGAATAATTCTATCAATGGACACCGGAGCGACTTCGTTGGCGAGAGTGACTCGGCCACGACGTGTACATTCCTACAGTCAGTTACGTACATACCTCGCTAGCTCGTGTCAAGTAAAAGGAGCGTGAGCGGCTCGGGAGGCGACGATCTTTCGATGGATCGGTCGTCTTGACGATCGAACCCAGCGAGCTTCTCGACTTGCATTAATAAATCATCAACTCGTCCGTAGGAGGGCGACCATGTGATGAGTATACTTCGAGAACCTCTAAGTGAATCTTTTCGAAGATCGCTGGTTCCTCTCTGCGATCACGCATCGACCGGTCCGGGACTTACAATCAGATGGCCAACCTCTCTTGTCTCCGGAAGACTGCATTGGAAGATCAAGAGAGAAACTTGCAGGCTCCAGGTCGCTCAGCGGTGACCGTCATCACTGATCAGAAGCAAGTTCCGAGGAGACATGATGGGGAGAAACTCGCTGCCTTAGCTTGAGGAGACCATATTTGTTGCTCAACCGTGGCCTCTGCGTAGGGGTGGCCATCTCGAATTGACTCCATCTGATTCAAGAATGTACGTCCACGCCTCAACATCCAGGGAACAAAAAAGTCCGGCATATGAATATTTCCGGTAGTGCCTGAACTTGGATGTATCGCTCAAATCCTCTCAAGCTGAGCTACCTACATACATTCATCCAATGTCATTGCAATCGATGGGCACTCATGGGACTCAAATTTCTGAGAGGAATCCAATCCAGTAGACGCAGACGGCCTCGACGGTGTTTTTTGTACATGTTCTATGTTGTATATAAGAATTCAGTTCGGTTCTCAATGAGGTCTCGGAAGCGTGCGAACAAGCAGGAGGGGCGAGGTACATGATGTGTCGAATCAAACAGAACAATGATCGAAGAGTTCAATAAAGTCACGCGAAATTTATTGATTGCAATATGTTGGAGTCTTGCCATCGTCACGCGATTCTCCTGACTGAGAGCTCACTGCTTGTTCACGGTGTCTCCAGTGAACTAGGTTTGCTGAGCTCTTTTCCCCTAAGGTCAGCGGAATATTCAGAGATGGCACATCGACGCCAGCTCTCGGAAACGTCCCAAGATACATCTCATAATATGATGGATCCCGGATCATACATCCGACTCCGATTCGCCTGCGATCCAGGGGAGGACCAAAGAAGATATACTCCATGTCTTCTTTGCGGGCACTTGCTCATGGAGCTCTGATCTTTGCTCCTAAATGTGCTCGCGGTCGAACACCATCACACCGAATATGGCCCGAATCTCCGAGAGATGACGAGGGACGAGTCAACCATTATAATTCTTCCGAGTATCATAAGTATTTCTTCCAAAAGAATCAACTTGACGAGGTAAGAGCGAATCGAAGGTCCACGCTCGGCGGATGGGGAGGTTGGTCCTCGGCTCGGATCCAGGTGTCGCTCTGGAGGGGGAGCATCTGCGTTTTGCTTTGTTTTGCTGTTCGCGACGGAATGTGCAAGATGATTGTTGAAACAACCTTCGGACTCGCGACAGCTATGTTTCTCCATCGTTGAGAACTCATACTCCGCCTCAGACCTGAGCCAGAGCCACATTGTATCTGATTTTCCCTCTGAAAGCCGTTGCTCGGCGCTCTCGACCCCTTTTCGCCGGTTGTTTCTTTTTTTTGCTTCATTAGGCACTTTTTCTTGCTTGCACGCTCGCCGCCGGGGCAGTCCGTGTTTTTCTCCTATCTGTTCCCGAGCCAGCGAACGGAGAGTGCCTGGGTGGCAAAAGTCGGCTTCGTCCTTTTGTCGACACCACCGCCATCGACGCCGCGCCGTCACAATCGCTGTGCCATCGAAGGCTAGCAGCGTTTGAGGACCGATGTGTATATACACCAATATAGAGAACAGAGTTCGTGGAGAGCGGGAAAAGAAACTCTCCCTGCCATCTTTGCAAGAAAAGGCGGATGGACGGGCGGCAAACGCGGCGATTCACACTTTCCCTTTCTCTGGTCGCGGGCGGACTCCGTCAAAGGACAACAAAGAAACGTGGGAAGCCAAGGGGTGACGAGCAGGCGAGAGAGCCAGCTATTTAAGGCGATACTCTGTAAAAGCGAAAAGAGCAAATAATGATCCATTGAGGATAACGAGGAGGAGAACTTGCCGCTGAGGAAACGCACGGTGTCTGCTGCTCCCACGGCCGCTGTGCGGGGGTTCGACTTATGAGAAGCCATCGTGTCCCGCTTGGTCGCTTGCCATTCCGAGAGTACATAATAAACAAATTTCGGGGACGACGATGCGTTTCTCCGTCGACAGAGGAGATTCTAAGTCTGTCGATGCCGACTGGATGTCTGGCGGACTTGTGGCAGACTCGAGTCCACGGACGCACTCGGCCCTCGACTGAGACGGATGTTGTGACCGAGTCAACGACATCCCGATGCCGCCGTGATTGACACGCGGCCACTTAGACGTTAGAGGGTCTTTTCATGTGCTAAGTAAGCACTTAACAATGTTCATTGATGTCTGACGAAGAATGGATCGCTTGAGAGAGGAATTGACATTTGACCACAAGTTCTCACGAAACACACGGACCGAACATTGACTCGGCGAGCGAGATACACGCGGATTTCTCCGTCACCTTTAGCTGCGCCGCTTCAGGGAGCAAAGTCGACCCTGAGCTCGAAGAGTGGGCGTGCTCTGGAAATCAATTGACGTTGTACGGTTCCGAGGAACATCTCGTTCCGGGCTAGCATGTCGAATTTCCACACGGGGCGGTATTTCCCGTTAATGTATTCGAAGCCGTCGCGTCGGCTGATTCCGGGGATTGAATTTCGGGCCGCGCGAATGATTGCGTCGCAGGCGGCTGAGAAATTTTCAAGATGGAGATTTCATGCAGTAGGTCATGGAACGCGCGCTCTCGGGCTAAGAGCCGATGATCAAGGTTCTTCTCGAACAACTTCAATCAGCTTGAGTTCTGAAAGAGTTCGATAAGAGACGACTTGGGAGAGATCTCGTAAAAAAAGTTGTCATTCGAGAATCGCTCCCCCGAGCATTGAAAGTTTCTAGCGAGAGAGGGAACGAACGCGATCGCGGCGATGGAGCCGCTCGAACTTCGAGGTCAAATATTACGTTCGGGACAGGATATTGGTCCAGCGAGACGATGTCCGATGCCATCGAGCTACGGCGGCGGCCCTTCAAGCGAACGACCATGAGCAAAAATAATCGAGGAGGAATCGTGTCTCGCCGGAGCTGGATGGTAATAGGCAGCCTGTGCGCCGAAAGGGAAGTTTCGCATTCACCGCTCGATTATCCTGCAATCACTAGGGCTGGGGATATTGAGAAAATATGAAGGGAACTCCGGATTCTCGAAAGAATTGTCTCGAATCTCATGCTAAGCTCGAGATACCGCTTCGAAAAACCGCCGGTTCGGATCTTTCGGACAACAGAGGTCAGGCCGAGACACCCAGAACCCGGAGTCGAGTGGAAATGACGTCGGAACATCAGGGAATGAGAATGTGGGGATGGTCGCACGCTGTGAAGCGACGTACGCGGCTTCCTTCCCTCCCGTAAACTTGTGTTTGAGATTACCTCGCCCAGCACTGGGAGTTAAGAGTTTGATAACGAAAATAAAAAATGGCCACAGATGTCCTTGGAGGTAGGCGGAAGAGTAAGGCGAACCTCCCCAGAGATAAGATATCCCAACTTCGCAACACAAAAATACGTCGACTTCCACCGATAGACGCCGCGCCTCCGAAGCTCCTATAGCTCAAAGAGTCACTGACTGCGAAGCGGACTCCGCGGGCTGTTGAGTAGGGATGTCAGACTGCTGTAACACCTTGTCCATAGATTAAACGAGTTTAAGCCTCGCAGAGGTTTCAGAGCTCGGAAGGATTCTTCCGAACGTTCACCGGCTCGAACGCCTTTAGGTCTCAAGTAATTTGGAGGAGCCTCTGCTCCGGTGTTAAGATCGACGCCTCGTCGTCGCAGACGGGAAGCTCGAACGATATCGATCCTCGTGCATCGAAAGGTCACGCGAACGACACTATGCA